AGCATGCAGAACTCCCAACCTGCTTCCTCTCTGAGAATATGGCTGAATCAGGATGTCAAGTGCAGCCCCAGGCCCTACCAGCTGCTGCCAGGTCAGATTGTAGGGCGCTGTCCTTGATGGGGCTGGTAGAACAGACGGAGCCAGTGTTAAGGACAGCAAGGGAGAGGTGAAGCCTGCTGCTTTGTGGGCAGGGCTGGCCTGTAACCTGGAGGAGCTCCTGCTATGAGCTCCCTTAACCTTAGATGGCTACATTCAGGATGAAACCCTGCAGGTGACGGGTGCACACACGAAGTTCCAAAGGTTCCTGTGTAGGAGGAAGTGGGAATTTTCAGGACCTTGGTCAGTACCCCAGGATTCCTGGAGGGCCAGCTTTCTCTGCAGATTTTCTAGCGGGCTCTGTCCTTGTCCAAACCTCTGGATATGGTGGAGATGCTGCACGCAGTGAAACTATATATAAAGTTCAGAACAGTGTGGGGCTTCTTTGGATTACAGGAGTTTTTTAAGGATCGGTGCTCAAGGATGGGGATGTGTGGAGGCATGATGGAAGGAAGAGGAGGAGCAGCCTGGAAAACAAGAAGTGTCTATGGCTTGGGTTGTGTCTCTGCCCATTTATCTCTGCTCTGGGCCAAGCAACCTGGGTCTTACCAACCTGCCCAACCAAACTCTCTTCTTCCTGTGTGCTCCCTAAGCCTTGTAGGATTAGAGGTCTCCTTGAGGTTGTTTTCTAAGGGTTTCCCCCACCCCTTTGTCCTGCTGCCCCACTCCCTTTCTGTGCTTGCCTGTTGCCTTTGCATGCCCTATTACAGCCACCAAGACCTCAAATTGCACTGTGTGGAGGATCCTCTGGTTCCCAGATGCGATGGTTCTCTTCCCTCCAATAAACTTTTTACAAGCAATTAATTAACCTCATCACATCCTTTCTGTGGAGCCCAATGCAGGGAGGGAGGCAGAAGTGCCTTGTCCCCCGAGGCCTCTAAAGTGGATGTGTGGCAACCCAGCTGATGCTGGAGGATCCTCTTCCAGAGCAGTCACCCTCTTCCCAACTTTGCAGCTGGCTACAGTGTGAGCCCAACTCCAAGGAAAAATGAGGCCCACCCTGTTTGCCCTCCTCTCTGGCCTGGTCTCCAAACTGCCTTCATCATTTGCTTCTTCCAGTCCTCTCCCAGGCAGTCTCTGGGGTCAAAGATCATGTGCCAGATTTTAGGGGAGGATGCAGATGAGTGTTGAGCAGCACAACCTCAGGTGGCAGTGATAACCTTTCCCTTGCATGCTGGGCCTGCTATTTTCCTGCAGCAAATGGCATGGAAATACATGGAAATGCAGTGTGTCTGCATGTGCCCAAACATCCTGGGCACTTAGTGGGCAGCATGCAGCCCCCTGAGCAGTATAGCCCAGGGTCTGATCTTTTGCTTCCCAGGAGATGTGCCCTCAAATGCTGAGGCACAGAGTGAAGGGACCTCTGGGCTCCTCTCAGCTGATGCTGAAAGCAGTGGATGAAGATACTCCCTCTGGTCTGGATGAGCGGCAGCTGAGAGAGATGGGGCCTAGGCTGGGACTCAGAGGAAAATTAGAGTGGGAAGACATGAAGTGAGATATTGTTTATGGACCTGCTGATACCAGGCACTGTGCTAGACACACTGTACAAGTTAATTCATGCCCTCCTTCTGACACCCAAGAAGTTCTTAAGGAAACTGAATTAACAAAATGCAGCAACTGGCTCGAGGTTACCCAGTAAGTTGTAATGCCAAAACTTCACTAAGATTTTTATTTCCTGGGCAAAATTTTAAAATGTAAATCAGATAGTGCCATCCCTTGTCTAAATTACTTCCATGGCTTCCCACTGCTGTTAGCAAAAATCCCCTCTGTGCCCAGCAAGCCCACATACCTCTCAACCGTGGCTCCTCCCGCCCCTGTCTCTTACTCTGCCCGGCTGCCTGGCCTTCTTTCAGTTCCTGTCTCTTCTCAAAGCTCTTGCCCCGGCTGTACCCACTGCTTGGGATAGTTTTCCTTCAAATCTCCATGGGGCAGCTTATTGTCATTCATCATGTCAAATGCTGCCTCCTCCAAGAGGTCTTCCCTAACCGCCTTGGAAACCACTTCCTCCCTCTGTCTCTTTCTAGCCTTTCATCTTAAGTTTTTCACAGCACTGAAGGGCTTTTGAAATTATTTATTTGTTAACTTATCCATTGGCAGTCTTGCCCACTAGAAAATAAGTTCCTTCAGGGTAGAAACCTTGTCTCTCTTGCTCATCTTTGTTTACCTAGAGCCTGGTGCTTAGTAAGTGCTCAATAAATGTTTGATGCATGGAGGGACTGAGGAAGTGTACCTGGGACCCAAGGGAACAGTGGAGGAAGTGGGGGACAGGTTGGGGAAAGGACTCAGTCAGTGACTGCATATCACATTGTAGCCTAATCAATGGGGCTCTGGGGTTTGTAGGAGAAAGTGTACTTGTTCAGCTGTCTGTTCCTGAGGTGGCCTGCCCCCCCACCTCCCTGCACCTTTCCTCAAACTTTGCATGAAACCAGGTAAAAGGGGAGAGGCTGATATGGGTATGCTTGGGCTCCCTTAGCATTCCCAGCCTTCCTTGATTTGGGGTGGTTCTCAGGGAGCTCATTCCACCTGCCCCCAGGGTTGCAGCAGGCATTGCCTGGAGGAGGGGGAGACTGCTGCTCAAAGAACCTAATCTTTTGCATTTGCTGACATTCTTGGATTTGGCATTTACAACCTCAGGGTTCTATTCCAAGGAGGCCTTTTGCATTTGATGTAAATATTATGGTGATGAGAGGTGACACAGAGAATACCCTGTAGGAAATGTAAATCCACCCCCACCAGGCTGGGAGCCTCTCCCTGCAGCTGTTTTGGGTTGTTATGCAGGGGATTGATTCTTCCCAGTTCTTGGGTTAACTCCAAAGAGCCCCCCACCTCCACCCATAAGCAGCAGGGTCTGGGAATTGCACATTAGTTATTTTTCCAATTTGCAGAACCACATTCATCCATCAATCTGGGAAGCAATCTTGGCGAGGCTGGAACCAAGTGGTGCTGCAGCCCTTCTTTGAGGGGAGGGATGTCACCTCCCAGAGGAGGCTTAGGAAGTCCTTAGCTTTGGAGTCATGGTGTTGGAGGATCCAAGCCAGTAATGCGCACTGTAGTTCTCAGAAGTCAGCTGCTCTCTGTCACTTCCTCAATGACTCCTGGTTCCCACTTGTCTCCCAGTAGAATTTAACCCTAGATTTATGTGTCCCTTTACTGAGCCCTGGGGACTGCCTGCAACTGCAAGAGAAACTGGATTAACAAAACTGGATTAACTTCCCAAAGTCCCCAGGAAATGATGTTCATCATCTCCACCTGCATTCATGATAGGGAACAGCTGTCCTGAGGTGGTTTGCAGGATCAAAGAGATCATACCTGCATGCTGGTGTCCCTTTGATACACTGTGTTCACAGACAAATGACTGGATTTCTTTGAGCTTTGGTTTCCACATCTTCCAAATATGGAAGATGACACCTGTATTACAGTGTCATGTGAGGATCACATAGGATCATGTGAGAGCATGTAAGGGGCCTACTTCAGCCCTTCATGTGAAGAGCACTGGGGAAGAGGGGACAGTTATTACTAGGCACAGAGGGCTTGTAAGGGATAGAGTGGACCAGGCACATATGCATGTACAATGACTGGTTATTATTGTGGTCAGCGTGCCTAGAGATCAGACTCTGGAGTCAGAAATGCAGGCTTCAAATCCTAGTGCAGCCACTAGACACTGAACTTTCCAAAGTTTTGGTTTCTTCATCCTTAAGATGTCAGATTTTGTGAAGATTAAACAAGATAGTGCTTGGCTTATGCCAGCCTCTTTCTGAATGCTCCAGCAAAAATTTTTGGGTGGTTTAATGGGAAAGACTGAATTTGGGTTTTTTTTGTTTGTTTGTTTGTTTGTTTGTTTGTTTTGGTATCAGGGATCGAACTTGGGACCTTGCGCTTGCGCAGCAGGCGCCGGAACCACTGAGCTAAATCCCCAGCCCCTTAAAGACTGAATTTGTGATAAAAAGATCTGGGCTTAATCTACTGTCATCTCTTATCAACCATGCTATCTTGGGCAAATCACTTCATATCTATTTCCCAATCTATAGAAAAGGTATAATATCATCTAGTTGTATATATGTATGTATGTATGTAGTCCTAGAGTTTGAACACAGGGCCTTGCACATGCTAGCCAAGGGCTTTATCACTGAGCTACATTGTCAGCCCCATGTCATCTAGCTTTAGATTGCCATGAAGAAAGGTTAACAGTCGCATAAAGATGCTTAGTATTTATATAATAAATGAATGATGTGGAAGGATTTTGAGATCTGGATTTAGAGAAGTTGGATGGGATTTTGGGTTTATTATTTACTTTGTTTGATTTGGGGCAAGTGACTTCACCTCTGTGAACCTTGGGTTCTCTTGGTATAAAATAGGATTGTACTATCCCCCAGCATTATTGTAGAATTAAATTAGACAGTGAGTATTAAAATACTTCATAAACCATAGGGCACCATGTTCACTGTAGTTTAATATCACTTTGTGCAGAGCCTTGGGCAAGGAGCTATAAGGGCTCCAAAGCTATTCAAAGATCTTGGTCCTAGTCTTGGAGGAGCTTTGATGGATTTGAGGACAGAAGGCACAAAAGAGGGGGCAGAACTACATGGAAATTTTTACTCATTCATTAATTGCATGAGTGTTCCCAGAGTGCCTTCCAAATACTAGGCTTGAACGGTCTACAGGAGATTTTAGGTTAGGCCTGAGGGAGGAGCTTTGAAGGCCAAGGGAAACCCTCTGGACTGACTGTTTTACAGATAGAGGCCTGTGAATGCTCATATGCTGTCTCTGCTCCTGACTTCTCTTGTGGACCAGGCTTCTGGGTTGAGTCAGTCACCTCTGAGGGCCAAGTCCATTGTGAGGACAGCATCTGAATCAGCCATTCAGTGGGTGGCCTCTCTTAAAAGGTCAGTGGCCTATCTGGCCACCACAGATGGCAGCCACAAAAGACCTGCCGAGAATCCAATCTAATTCAGCAGCAAAGGCTCAAGACACTTTCCATGGGAGCAGGAGGGTGAGCTGCAAGGTGATTTTGCTCCTGTCACAATCTCCCTTTAGATACAGTCTGTCCTCAAGGGCAAAAATAGCAGCTTCAGAGGCAGGAGAGTGTTGTGACATCAACCCCAGATTCAGCCAACAAAGCCCACTCCAGACTGCTGGTCTCTCTTGCCCCTTGGGTATTTGAGCTAAAGTCCAAAGGGACAAATTTGGTGGCCCCAAGAACCCTTCTAGCCTCTTGTCCCCAATTCTGGGCTCTGTCTACAAACAAGTCTCTCCCCACTCCAGAGCTTTTAGTCTCCAGGTGAAGAGGAGTGCATTCAGCAAGGCTGTGGCTGGACTCCGGCGGCCTCCAGCTCTCCAGGGCTGAATGCTGCAGGCCTGCAGGGCTAGGAGCATACAGGCTGGGCTGGCTGGAATGGCACCTGGCCTGGAGACTGAACTGAGGGGAATACATTCTGCAATCCCTGGGAGGCAGGAAGAGAGGAGGGAGGTTCGCAGGGAGAAGAGAGGAATTTGTGCACAGCTCTGTGTGTGTGTGTGTGTGTGTGTGTGTGTGTGTGTGTTTCTGTCGTGCAGCAGGAGATGGCAGGCAGAAATGGGAACTCCACAGCCTCCACTGATTAGAAGAGTTTTGAAATTGATAAATTACTTTGTATCAGGGCAAAATGATTTGACCAGATTTCAAATGTCTCAGAGAAGGGAAGCTTCTCTTGGGCCAAGTATCGATTGCATTTAATAGAGCTGGGACTTTCTCACTTAAAAACAACAAAATAAACATCTAAGAGAAGGCACTAACTTACCACTCTCTTTCTGTCTTTCTCATCTCTCCTTCCTTTCCCTTCTTCCTAAGAAAAGGACAGGATCCAGCGACCCACCCAAGCCTGAGCTGGGGTTGGGGGCAGGGCTGATGTTGAAGCCATGGAGCTCTTTGGGGGCAGATTGATGGTAGGAGCTGGGAAGAACAGGGGGCTTTGGGTTGATCCCATTCTTCACAGACTGATTTTTGCCAAACAGGGACTGTTGGAGCCTTTGATAAATCACTAACCCAAGTGATGAATGCCCTGGGGCTGGGTGGGGTGGGAGGAAGGATTCTAATTTTGGAGGCTAACCAGGAAAGACTGGGGGTGGGGGTGGGGTGGGGTGGTGTGTGTAAGGGGAAAGGGCTGGTAGACAGAGGGAGCCAGGTAAAACAAGCCCTATAAATTCTGTGAGATATCCCCAATAGCTTGTCTCTCAACAAGATTTGACCACAATCATGAACTCAACAGCACTTCAAAATTCATTTTCAGCCTGTCTCTCGTCTGTCTCTTGCTGTCTGTCTCACTGTCTGCCCCTTTATCTGGTTTCCAAATGGACTCTGATGGATTCCTCCAAGGAGAGGATTCTCTTGGACGTCCTAGAAAATGGAAATGTGTAAGGAAGGCAGGTAGCAAGTGGGGGCTTGGCAGTGGGGAGTGGGAGGAGAGGAGAAAAGTGGCCTCATGGAATATGTGGGGTGAGCTGCAGCAGAGACCAGCACCAGCAGAGGGAGGGAGAGGGTGGAGCAAATACAGACATGAGTTTGTAGGGCAGCTCTTGCCAGAAACAAGTTGGTTTCCAGGGAGTCTTATTCTTCATGAAGAGAACGGTCATGCCATGTGGTTCTCCTGCCCTCCCTCAAAGCAGTGAGAACAGAGATCTGCCTCAATTGGGCTCCCTGAAGAATAGCAAGAAGTGTAGAGGGGGAAAAAGATCAGCTCCAAGACCCAGAACTGATCTCTTATCATGGCCAGAGCCTGCCTAGAAGGCAGACCAGAGCGTAGCCTACAAGTTTGAGTTAACTGAGTGACCTTGGACAAGTGACTTAGCCTGAGTCACCTTCTGGTTCTTATCTGTGAAACAGCAAAATAGAATAGGCTCACATGAAGCTTATATTAATGAAGATCATATGACACATAATCTTAATTGATATAAACCTGGGTTTGGCCCATAGCAAGCATTAAGAAAATGTTAGCTAGAGACATTATTGTTCTTCTTGGTTGCAGCATGCCAGATTCTGAAGTCACAAGAACTCAAAATGTATCAGCCATTCTGGAGTCAAGAGAACCCTAGCTGTCTTAGAGTGTGGCAAACTACTGAAATTGCCCACCTATGGGCCAAGCCATGTCTACTGTCTGACCCTGCTCCGGTCATCACGGAGGTGCCACAGAACAAGGCCTCCGCAGCTCTCTGTATGGGCAGCTGGGATGGGCCCTCCAGAACCCTGCTGGGAGCCCTGGCCAGTCCGCAGGTGTCAGCCCTTGCGAGTGGACTTGCTCTGCCTCTCCGGCTCTGCACAAGGCCACGCCCAGCTTTCCCCGACGCTGTTCCCATCCACGGTGCTAACCCACGTTCCATCCCAAGTCCTGTGTAGACCTTCCCACCTCAACCCTTCACTCCTGCCTCCAGAAGAGGCAGATCTCAGAAGATCGCCCGTCACCAGGAATGAATTCTGAGTTCACGTTCTGGAATGCTGCCAAGAAGGAAGCGGCGTTGGTATAAAGAATCACACAAAAGGCCGCAGGTAATTATGTCTCTTTTAAGCTGCTAACAGGATTGGCCGTTTGATAAATGGGAGGATTTGAGGCTGTTTTGTCACTGACAAGCTGTTGTAAGATCATATTGGAAGCTGAAGACAGTTTATCTTCATGTGTGTGGTGGAGAGAGGGGAATTCTCCGTGGATTTTACACCCTCTTCAAATTAATGTGATTTCCTAGGCCGGTGCCATGCACAGGAGTGAGTGATCTTTATGACTCACCCTCTGATTAGATTACCTGGCTCAGCAGCCACCTCCAGCCCTTCAGAGTGCCCTCAAACTCCCCAGACCCATCCCTGCTCCCCTCCCTCCAGCTCCCCTCTGACCTCATGGCTCCTCTCCTCTGGCTACTCTCAGGTCCAGCTGCTGAGCACACCCACAGCTCAATTACTGCTGACTTGCCTGAGAGACAGAAGGATCTGGTTTCTACAGTTCTTCTGAAGGGAGCAGAAGAGAGGGAGGTAGGGTGGGAGGAGGAGGAAGGGAAGCAGCAGAGGAGAGCAGAAATGAGACAAAGAGGGAGTTGAAACAGAAACAAAGACACAAGCTGAGCCATATATAAGAAAAAGAGAGACAAAAACAGTGATAAAAGCATTTTTTCTTTCATCTCTAGAGCCTTCCTTGGAATCACAGACACCAAGGTGGTCTCCTTTCCTGAGCCCCCATATTAAACAGGTCTTCTGCACGTTTTCTATTGAATAACTTGGTTTGTCTTCTTCATAGCACTTACCACTATTATCTTGTTTGTTTATTTTTTGCCTCTATTGTATTTGTCTTGACTCCCAAATTATAAGACTCCTTGAGCAGAGGTCATGGCTGCCCTGTTCCTCTCAAGACCCCAGCACCAAGCACTCAGTGGGTTCTTGGTAAATGCTCATGGAGTGAGTGTGTGAAAAGGCAGGGATCTGGAAGGAAATCTGAAGGAGCCATCCTGGCTTTTCCTCCTGGCAGAGGTCTGGAGGTGGGTGGAAGGCTGCTGGGTACTAGGCTAGATCTCTCGTCACCTTCACCAGGTGGCTTTGAGGAGACATTTCTGGGGAGGGAATACTTCCGTAGTTCTTTGGACAGAATTAGGCATCCTTCAGAACAAAACAAGTGTGAAGCACTTGCACCAAAGTCCTCTGGGAGGCTGTGTTTTCATAAGCATTCCTGGGATTCTGGTGCAGTTAGTCTAAGACCACACTTGGAGAAACACTTCTGACAAACAGGTGAGCTGGGGGTCCTGGCCATGGGGACATCTCCGTAGAACCAAGGATCTGGGGTGTACAGTGTGTGTGTGTGTGTGTGTGTGTGTGTGTGTGTGTGTGTGTGTTGGGGGGATAGTGGTTGGAATACTTGCAATGACATAAAGAATCTAAAGTCCATTATTTCTAGCCACGTGCCGCCTCATTCTACACACCTACTCCAGGCTACTTGTGGGCAAAGTTCAAAAGTAAGGCTAACCTTCTGGGGACAGTTCCCCCACCCTGCCCAGGACCTTTGAAGAAGAGAAAGACAACAACAGATGTGAGGAGGAAAAGGAGCCCTCCCTGCCCCATGCCCAGGGGCTTTTGCTTCCTCCACCCATTGAAGTGTTTGCAGCTGGTAAGCCATGCCTCATTTCCCAGGCAAGCTGTGTACCCACCCTCAGGCCCCAGGCCACCAATGCCCCTCTTTTAGGGGCCTCTCCTAGACTTGTCAGCAATCTGTGCTTCAGGATTTATTGGCTGCTACCCCAGCATATCGTCCTAATCCTCCAAAACATGCACCCCTCAAACTTCACAGCTCTATCACACAGACAGTCAGGACCCCCATGGGATATGTGACATACAGCAGGGTACTCAGGGGTAAAGGACAGTGTACCCAGCAGTGGGACAGCCTGAGCTTCTCCATGCTAGGCCTCAGTATGGCCTGAAAATAGGAGGGAAGAGCATGGTAGTCAAGTTCCAGCCAGTTGAAAAAATAGCTCATCCCATCTCACTTCTGCCCAGTAAAACCAAAGCTACCACCCTCTCCCACTCTCTTTACATGTCAGAAACTCTGGCCTTCATGCTCAAATAATCCATGCTCTGTCGGTCTCAGAAGTGTCCTCATGCATGCTGATCCTTTGTCTGCAGTGCTGTCCTACCTCCTTCCATCCCTTTTCTCTGGTAGCTCCTACTTCTCTCCTTGGTAGACCTTTCCAGATCTGCTGGCTCTCTAACCACCATTTGGAACACTCAGCACTCTTGTCATTATATATTTCACGTCTGTCTTCTCTACTGGACTGTGAGCTCCGTGATCAGAAGGACCACACCTATGTGTCTTGTCCACTGCTGTATTCCTGTCACTACAACGCACGGTGCATGGTACCTGGTAAGCATTCAAGTAGGAAGATAAAAGCTTAGACAAATTCATCTGTTTTAACACACGGTTCTCCAGTGTGCACTCTGTTAGGCCCCAAGCATGCAGCAGCAGGCAAAAAGGCTTCCTCTCTGCCCTCACTCGGCGGAGGCTGGGATCTGGGGGGAGGCACATCACCATCGAGTAATCATATGAGTTCATGTAAAAGCGCAACTCTGGTGAGTGCTGTAAAGGAGCGGTTCATAGCACCAACAGAGAGCACAGAAGGAAGACGTGATGAAGTAAGGAGGCTCCAAGGGTGGTTTAAATATGAAGGATCACCCAAAGACTCTTGTATTGAAGGCTTGATCCCAATGTAGCACTACTCAGAGGCAGGGTCTAGAGAGGTGATTGGATAATAAAGGCACTGGCCTCATCAGGTGGATTAATCCATTGATAAACTCATCGCTGAATGGGCTGTTAGGAGGTGGGCCTTGTTGGGGGAAGTAGGTCACTGGGTGTGTGCCTTTGAAGGAAATCTCTTCTCAGGCTTTTCCCTTTTCTCTATGTTTCCTGGTTGCCATGGTGAGCAACTTCCCTCTTCCATGCCCTTTCTGCCATCACATTTCAACCTTGAAGCCAGCCAATTATGGAATACCTCTGAAACTGTGAGCCAAAATTAACTTTGCCTCCATAAGTTCTGGATGTGACAAAAAGCTAATTAATACAAGAGATCAGGGGAGGGTACCTTAGAAGATATTTCTCTGAGATGGAGAAGGTTGTTGTATAGAGCAACAGTGAAAGAAAAAGTATTCTGGATAGAGGGAGTAGCATGTGCAAAGGCCCTGTGGCAGCAGGGAGCACGGCTTCTATAAAGAACAAAAGCCTAAAAAGACTGAAATGTGTGGGGTGAGTGGGGAGGCTGGAACCAGATCGAGGCCAGATCATGCAGGAGCTTGTCAACTGAGGTAGAGAGTTTGCTTCTTCATCTAAGAGCAAAGGATTTAAACACTGAAGAATTTAAATAGCAGATGGGTGGGCAACTGCAGCAGTGATATAACCAGAATTGCATTTTTAAAAAAGGTCATTTGGGTTTCCAGGTGAAGAAGGAGGGGAAGGCCTCAAGGGGAGGCCAAAGAGTCAATTAGTGGTGTACTGCAGCCACCCAGGCCTGGCCCATTTGTGGCAGAGGTCCAGAGTCATGAAGAGTTTTTGGGAGAATATTTTCAAGCCACATTATAGGTTGGTAGCAAAACCAGGAACAGCACCCATCCCTGTCCTTTGCATCTGCCCTCAGCTCTGGCCTTCTGCCACGGGGCCACCATAGGGAGGGGTTCCCAGGCTTCCTCCAGAAGTGAATCTGCTTTCACCCGGCCTCTGTGCCCATATTTTGTGCTGTGACCTTGGGGATGCCTCCATGTGTTCTAGGCTGGAAGGCACTGGTTGGCCCCATCCAGCAGATAGCTTTTTCTCATCACCCTAGGTGCTTTGCACACTGGGAATCGTAGTTCTGGAGCTGGAAAGCTGGGCCTGCTCCCGACTGTGGGTCTGGCAGGCAGCCTGGTTGCCATGGCAGCAGCTGGGCTGGAGCCACTGAACCATTTCATCCACAGCTCTGCTGGCTCTGAGAGCTCCCAGCAAGAAAGCTCGGGCTCTGGGGAGGAGGTGGAGGAGGAAGAAAGGGGGAAGAAGGAGGAAGTACCCCTTGGGCCTTCCCCAGAGTTCTGGGCTAAGCCTCACCCTGCTCTGGGGCTTGTGGACTGAGTCAAAAGAAGTCACCAGTTCATCCTCAGTGTGACTCCCTAGCACCGACTGCCTTGGCTGCTCTGTTCATGCCAGTCAACCCCTGTAGGTTCAGCTCTGTGAATGCAGAAGTCTACACTAGACACAGAGAGGAGGAGGAGGCAGCCCTCCTCCCCAGGGAACTCAGAGCCTGCATGGAAAATAAGAAAGTCTAAGAGAATGACCTCAAAGGAAAAGTTCTGTCCACTTTTCCTCTGAAATGTCACTAGGACCCATTCCCTCCTTTCTGCCCCTTGGCCACAGTGCTAGTTCATTCTATCTCCCCCAGAGAAGGCTTTCTAAAACACAAATCAGGTCCTGTCACACCCCTGCTTAAAATTCTTCAATGGCTCCCCTTTGCCCATGACTGGATCAAGTCCAAACTCTCTAGTAGGACCATTCATGGCCTTTCAGATTCTGGCCTGAGGCTCCCTCCTGCTCAGAGATCCTCCTGCCTCCCCCTCTGCTGCAGCCATCTAGAAGTTTTCCAGTTCCTCCTGCATCCCCCCACCCTTGCACATACCTGCCTCTGCCGAGGTCCCCTTCCCTCCCTCTCCTACCTCGCAGCTGAGGAAACCCAGGCAAACATCCCCTCCTTGGTAAAGTCTTCCAAACTTCTTCTCCACCAGAGAAGAATGAATGGCCTGCTGCTCAGAGCTCCCAGAGCACTTTGTACATCACTTGCAAGCACTTATCACCCGCGTTGTGATTATCGTCTCTGTAGCTCCCTCTCCCTCTCTCTCTGTACTGTATCTGAGCCATCCCAGGGTCCCCAGTGCCCAGCACAGCATCTGGCACAAGGTAGGCATTCCATAAATGGTGAGTGGGATTGAATGCACCAAAGGAAGGCTACTTGGGCCTTTTCCGGTCTCTTCTCCTCCTCCGTGGGCTTATTCTGCTGCCATTCCTTCCCTACCCTCCCTTGGGGCCCTGCACACCTCAAGCACTGACTGGTAGACCTGATAGAGTGGTGCCTTCTATTCTGGGCAGGGGTGGTACAGACACCTGCATATGGAGGCTGGGAGCCTCTTTGTGTCATCTGGGAGTTTGTATCAACTCACACCTGAGTCTCTAGAGAGAAAGTACCCAAATCTTCAATGGAGCCATGATTTATGGACCCAGCTCCAGGAGCTAAAAAACCCAATTAGTCTTCCCTGCTTCTCCACCTGGAGGCAGAATAATTCCAGGAAAGTCCTTCCTCCTGGGCAGAGACTCCATCTGCGTGGGTCTCAGCTCTGAGATATTCCCATCCCGCCTCCCACCCCTATTGGCTATGCTCTGGTCAGGAGATCTGAGCTGCCTGGGCCAGCTTTCTTGCATTAAAACCATGACTACTTCTTAGCATGTTGGAGGCCTTTTCCAGATTTCCATTCTTTCTAAATCTTATTTCTCCATCATAATAGGATAAAAAAAAATCCTTGTAGGAGGCTGGGGATTTAGCTCAGTGGTTCCAGCACCTGCTTTGCAAGCACATGGTACCGAGTTTGATCCCCAGTACCGGAAAAAAAAAAAATCCTTGCCTGGCTATATCATTTATTTACATACACAGTCATTTACACACCATAAAGATATTTTGGGTGCTACAATAGCCAGATGCTGGATTAGTCACCAAGAAGGCAGAGGTGAATCAGAGACACCAGTCTCTGTCCTCAAGAAGCTTATAGTTTGTGGGGAAGGTCACCC